TGCTGATGCTCTAGACACTGGCTCAAAGGTGTTCTTGCTTCCCAGTTCTGATCACAGGCAGATGGGAGCCTGGATCCTAATTTGCACTACAGGGATTCACTAATTAACTTGATGAACCAAGGACTGACATTAAAGCCTAAACTGTGGGGTACAAGGCTCATTTATTAAATATTTTTTTTTTAATATTACTTTTTCCAGATCACTCTCAATGCTTATTGGCATTATAATTCATGGTTGCTTTTTTGCACAGGGTATTAGTAAGCTCTCAGAAGTCTATCTCACATGTGTGCAATAAACTTTCTGGAACAATATATTTTACATTAGTAATCAGATGTGATAAAGACAGAAATTGTATTTAGAGGCAAGAGCCACATCCCCATCCTTATGTACTACTTTCATCTCCTTTTTAATAAGGAGTTCCTTTTTAAGTGAGGAAGTGCTATATTAAATAATAGCAGTATTTTTAAATACATTTAGTTTCCTAAGCAAAAGCTTCCTGGAAGGGATTACTAGTGATTTTTATTACCTGAACCACTAGTGGTTTTTATTACCTGAATAAAAACATTGTTTTGATTAATAGGCATCTAATTGATGACAGTTTCTAAGCAATTTGTCTCTTCAGGAGTTGTTGGAGACTCTCTCATCATTGTCTTTCTTCCAGCAGATCTTTAAAAGCATCACGAATGAAGATTCAATCCAGGGACAAGGAAGTCGGAGACTGATAAGTTTTTCATTGTCAGGTAAGTCACTGATGGGTATGAAAGTTTTACGCCTAGAGAGTAGGAAAGTGAAGTTACTAAATCCTTTCATGCACATATGTATGTATGTATGTACTTACATATATATTTAAGCACAGGGTTTTGCCTGTTGCTCTAGAAGGGGTGCTGAGATAGAGAATCAATATCTATGATTATTGCCACTCCTTCAACGAGAGTTACATGCTTGTTCAAGTAAAATTTTGGGGCCATACTAGGTTTTCCATTTGTAATTAAATGTGGTGTTGGTCAGGGAAAGCAAGGTCAAAGGTACGTGCTTTACTTACAAAGACAAGTGTGATTTGTGGTAGTCCTCTGGTTTTTTGGAGAGCACGTTCCACAGTCTTGGTCTGGACCTGAGGCAGATCCATGCAATGGTGCATGAGCTTGTCTGTTTCGTTCAACAGTGACTCTCAGACTTCCTGAGATAGAAGACTGCTCTCACTCTTCTAAATTTTCTGACCCATGTTCAGCCTCATTACATGGCATGTCACTGCAAGCTTTAAAGGCTTAATATGGTTCATTTGTTCTGGCTTTGGTTTAAAAATTCTGTAAGACACTTCTGCAGAAAAAATCAGTTTGTCAAAAGACAGTAGTTGAGAGCAAGGTTCTAATTTTGGAGTTTTACTCTTGCTATTTGTTTCTCATGCTTTTCAGCTCCTGCAAGCCAAAGAGAAGGATCTTGATCTTGACTTGTAAATTCTTTGAGGAAGTAGTACAGAGAAAAAAGAGTGACCCAAGTTCAAAATTTTTACAAGTGTAGGCCTATTAAGTCCTAGACTCATACAAGCATCGCGCTACGTGATAGGTTTGGCCGTATTATTTATTGCAAACTTCCCTCCAAGTAGTGTTAAAGTCAACTAGGTGTTCCAAATTGCTTTAATATTAAGTATGCAAGCCAATGCTTTTTAAAATTAGGTGTCCAATGTGTTTCTTGAGAGGTTTTATATGCTTTATGGCAGGTTAGACAGATGTGTGATGGGGCTCTTTTTTTCACTGTGCTGGGTGCTGGGCACCCACCCAGTCACATTAATTTGTTAAAAACAAAGGTTTAGCTCAACAAAAATAGAGTTAATATTTTTTTTCATGTTCTTAAAGAATCTTGCACAGAAAGTGTTGCCCAGAATTAGTAATTTTCTTTGTCTCACATTCTTTGGCCTAGTAGACCAAGAGATGTCAAGAGTAGCAATTTGTGAGACTGCTAAATACTGTTGTCAGTGGGCCCGTTATTAAGTTAAACTATCTAATTTACCACTTGAATCAAAGTATACAAAGACCATAGCACAGGATGCATTTGGGATATCTTATTTTAGTGGTTCACAATTAATTTGTTTACATTTTTATTACATCTATATTAACAGCATCATCACAGCCAGGTATTTAAAAGGCTTTGAGTTCACAATGCTTTTTCAAAAGTCTTTGGTATCAAAATAGCTCAATTTCAGTATTTCTGAAATTAACAGTTTAACACATCACAATGATTTATTTATTACCTTCTTACTTAGTCAACAGCAACAAAAAATGTTGTTGTCTTTCTCAAAGTAAAGTAATTGCTGTTCCTTTTTCTGTGATTCTAGCTAATAAAATGCAAATCAAGTCAGGTGTTCCAGGAGCATGGGAAGAAGGTGGGATTCCTTTCTATCTGTACTACTATGGCAGGAACAACCTCTTTATTGTCACAAGTCTATTCAGCTCACATAGACTTCTCCTTGTTAATACTTGTATTTTTATATACTGTTACCATCAGTGTCATTACTTAACATTTAGGTTTCCAAATGATGATGTATTTGGTTGCAGTTGAAAGTGCTGAACAGTATCAGTCCATTCCAGCACACTTTGATTGCTTTATGTACTGCCTAGACACTCCAGACACTCCTCTGTTAAACGGTGCAGAAATAGTTTCTTTCTAAAAGTTGGTAATAAAGTGCTTCATTCTTTCTGCAGTTTTATTGAGCATTTGCTAGGCCAAAATCCAACTGATTTCATGGAAAGTTTTGCCTGAGAAAGGATTGTTGGATCAAATAAAAGTGTCAAAGAAAAAAAATCTATAAACTGATGCTTCAGGGCAAAAAGAGCTTGCTAGCTTCTTGAGAACAGAAGTAGCTGAGAGGTTGCATTACATCAGTAGGAGTTTTGTTTTCTTAATACTTGTTTCTTAGGAGGCTGGAAGTTGGTCCTGTGAAAGGTTAATTCAGATGAATAGGTCCCTTAGCAATACTGATCTCAAAGAAGATAATTTTCCATGATTGAGATTCTTAATCATTTATATGGGGACTGTATTGTTACAGCTTTCATGATTTAAAATGCCAAGAGAAATATTGTAAGCTTAATATAGCTAGGAAAGCTAGGCATTCACTTGACATTTACTTTCTAACATAACTTTCCTGTTGTTACCAGGGAATGTCACACTTTTGATAGACATCTGAAAGTGTCAGAGCTCTCTCACATGAATTACAGGAAGAAGAAATGTGCTAGGCTTCCTGAGATGTACCAGCCACTGCATGGAAGGTTCATGGTTTAGCAGCAGTATAACGCGTTTGCTGAAGGCCCTTGGAACAATTCTGTTGGCTGGTATATTTAGAAAGTGTTATCACGAGGTCTGTGTGATATGCCTCCTACCAATATGTTGCATCAAATAACTTTATTCAAGCTGTGGTATTTTACATATATCATCGATTTCTTCTGTATTCCCCAACTCAAGCTAACTTGCCCACATGTATTCCTTATAAACCTGAGTTTCTAATCGCTTGACTTTTTCTTACCCATCAGAGCTTGTGCGAAAGTGAGGTGACTTTCTACCACCTGCAGTACACCTGTGCCTACAAAGTGCTGCAGTGCTCTAGACTAACAGACTTAAAAGGCCTCAAAAGGCTTTGAATTCAACTACTCCATTATCCAATGTTAACACAGGCCACTTTGCTTCATGGTGTGGAGCTTTGTGTGAGTTTGGCTTAGACATATCTTACAGACCGATGTGCAGTCTGAATCCGTGGATACCGTGAGATGGTACTTTGCTCCAGCAGTTAATTGTTTGCAGTGGTAAAAACTCCCCCTCAGTGTTCAGCTGTTCTTATAAGTTGTTCATACTTTTTCCCTCTTCCTTCTTGATGAGGACAATTTAAAAAGTAACTGTTTTTCAGCCATTTGTAAATAATTAATCTCTCCAGTTCATTTATTAATAGACACATTTTCTTCATGATATCTCTGCTGCCTCTTCTTTATACAAGTGAAAATCCATCTCATTGACTTTTGTGGCATTTCTAGCTAGAAGAATTCTTTTCTCCTCTTTTTGACTGTCTTTATTGTTTTACTGGGGAACCTCATGTGACAGAAATGTTTTGGTTTATCTGCTACACCTAGTAATTTTTAAAAAAATTCTTAGATCTTTAAACACATCCCTGTGCAACTACACCATGCAGTTCTTCCTTTCTTTTTTAAAAGGAAAATGGAGTTTGCCTATAGGTTTGTAGATTTCTGAGAACAGAAAGGTCCACTTTAATGATCTGAATTAACCTCTTGCATATCACGAGTTAGAGAACCTCATTCACTTGCTGATCAGGTTAGTAATCTATTGTATGTTACGTTGTGTCTTTCTCAATTCCCATGCATTATTTTTCTGTGTTGGATTTTATAACTTCCTAGCATCACTGTTTTGTTTTTGAAATTCCTTAATACCAGCTGCAATACTTGTGTGAACCTGTGCTCACTTTCTTTAGGATAAATTAGTATCATGTACTGCTGCATGAACTGGCATTTCCAAGCCAATGCAATAGTGCTGTGCTGTTACTGTTGAAAGGTTATTACACTACTAGTAGGGAATAATTTCTAGAGCTTCAAAAGCACATAGCTGAGAGGCTACGTGTCTCCTGTTGAATCTTGAGCAAGCAGAATTTTGTTGTCTCTTCCTTTGCAGCCACAACTATGTCTTAGATAGCTCAGCTCAATATATGAACTGCTACCCTCTAACATAAGCCAATACTTGTTCAGGTCAAGCTCTGGAAAGTGCAATTTACCAAAGAAACACTGACACACTGGCACCCTGGCAATTGCCTAACCTCATTGATAGTCAACACAGATACCAGTCCTGTTCAAGTACATTTATTCAGTATTAGAACCCAAGCTGACAGCTCTTCAGGAATTTACAAACCTCAAATAAAGGGAAGTGTTGGAGCTGTCCTTTGACATCCTAGTTAGCAACTCTTGTGGGGTGATTGATCATGAAGATGGTTTATTGTGCCTTGATACATGACTATCAGGTTTTTAGTCAGATGACCTCATTTTTACTTCCTGCCATTAATGAGCAGATCATAGAGAGAATGCATTCTATTTTGGTATTCATCAAGCTAAATCACAATATAAGTTGTCTGGGGTCTTTCCAGTGTCCTGGTAGCTTAGCAGTAGAATCATATAATGGTTTGGCTTGGAAGTGACCTTCAAGATCATCCAATTCCAACCTCTTGCCATGGGCAGGGACACCTCCCACTAGTTGCTTAAAGCCCCATCTTATCTGAACTTGTGCAATTCCAGGGAGGGGACATCCACAGCTTCTCTGGGCAACCTGTTCCAGTGTCTCACCACCCTCACAGAAAAGAATTCCTTCCTAATATCTGATCTAAATCTCCCCTCTTTCAGTTTAAAACTGTTAGACCTCATTAGTTATGTTTTTATGTATGTTCTGGGCAATTTTGACCTGATGCAAGGTGTCTTCATGTTTTCAGAGGGTCAGGTGACTCATGAGGAATATGTATGTCCCCACTTGTTTCAAAATTTTGCCAATAAATACATGCTGGTTTCCAGATTGCCACAACAATAGAGTCTCCATCACTATCCAGGCATCAGTTCCCCAAAGTCTGTGATGCTGCACGGACAATGGATTTGCAGAATGATCCTTTACAAGGCAGACAAGGAAGTCTATGTCCTACCTTAGGGACAGAGGCTGCATGAATACAAGTGACCTAGAGCAAAGCTTCCTTAGGTCTCATGCA